TTGTTTAATTTTTCTTTTGAGAAAAACTGAAAACGGGTCTCACAGACCCGAACACCATACAAGGGTTAAAAGAATCCACGTTGGAGAGGTTGTGATATGTAAAGGCAGTTTATTTCACAGTTTCGGAGCAGTCACAATCTGACAAGTAGAAGCATTTGGTCTGCAGATGGACCAAATGCTTCTAGAGACTTATTACATAAGCTTGCAATAATCAAGTACGCATCTAATAAAGTTACAGACTAATTAATGCTAAGTGCAACAACTTGCAACATTCAGCAGCACAATCACCTCTCTAGACTGATTATATATAACCAAACTCCGGAATTGCTTTTGTGTTTTGTCCATAGTGTTTAAACTAGAGGATTGCCAGCCACTGACAGCATTTTTTGACAAGATTCACAATAATTTCAAGACTCCTAGGATATAAAAACAGTAAATAGATCAAAAGAAAAAGAACACACAGAAAAGTTCTCCATACTGGATTTAAATTGTGTTTTTTTCCCAATGTGATAATTATCTTTTTTTTAGCAAAAGTAATAAATAATAACAAAACATACAATTTGCACATCCTAAAATGACACATCCAAATTTGAGTTCTTCAACAAGGTTTGCACAACTTTATCAACTTTATCATTTATTCATTGACCCTGCTTAAAAGCACACTTCTCCTGTCCCCTTCATATTTCCAGTTGTCCAACTTTGGACACCAGATTAGACTTACTGGTGCAATGTTGAGGTGAAGGTTATTACATTGCTGTACCTTAGTGTAGGATTTGCCCATTATTATAAGTGCTTTTATAGTTTATAGTTAGGGTTATAGTTTGAACTTTGTAGTTAAAACTATTGAAAGACCTTCAGAAATAACAACATATTCCTTTAACTAACCTGAGTGTCTCCAATCTGCAGTTTGGTTGCCCAAGACTAGCAAACAGTGTCTCTGCTGAATCCTCCAGGTTGATTGAACTCAGGTGCAGCTCTCTCAGATGGGAGGGGTTGGACATCAGAGCTGAGGTCAGAGTTTTACAGTGGTTCTCTGAGAGCCAAACATCATGAAGTCTGTGTTGACATATGTGTCAGAACATATGTTATTATGAAGAAGTAACATTATGTTTACTTCATGCACTTGTTGAAAAACAACTGGACACTTTCTCTTCACATCTGTGTTTCCACTGAAGTGTTTGTTTGACAAAAAAGTTAATTACCTCAGTCTCTGTCAGATTTTGTATTTTGATTTAATGTGCAGAAAAAAGGACAGAAAATTGGTTCCAGTCAGGCTTTCACGTAGTCATCCAGTGTAATGTGATCTAGCACCAACTCCTTAACCATAGGGGGTCAAGGTTTAATTGGATGTTTCTCACTACTTTTGATTTTTCTTTTTTATTACCTTAAAAGTTATTTAGCTTACTTTGAGTGGACTCCGTTTTTACAACATCTGTGAGGTTAAAAAGTAATTTTTTTAATGGTGAAAACCAGAAACATGTTTATTGAACTATTTCTAGACCTTGAAATGCAAATATAAACCATGAAGTTAAAAAACCTATGTGCAAATTTAGAAAGGAAACAAACAAACATTTTATATTAAAATGCAGGCAATTCTTTAAGTGTTCCTGTGTTTGTTTCTTTGTTTGTTTGTTTTTACACAAGTATTTACAAAACAGTCAGATGTCACAGTTATTCTGTACCACCCCGCAACTGATATCTCAAGTCTCTAATGAATCACTGGAACAGTGTAATAAGAAAACAAGAAGGTTTTAGTCAGAATAATTTAAGAACTAACCTACTGATGTAAAGTGATTTATAATGTTAATCACATCTGGACTCACCGAGCCTTTCTGCAGTTCTTCACAGCTGCAATTAGTCTTTGCCGTCCCTCCTGTGATGTATTGTAGTTCACCAGGTCCAACTCATCCAAAACATCTGACATGAGCAACATATATGCCAGACCCGAGCACTGAATTCCAGAGAGTTTCTTCTGTGATTTGTTCTGTGACTTCAGGAAGTCTTGGATCTCCTCATATACCGAAAGATCATTCATCTCCATCAGACAATGGAAAATGTTGATAGTTCTGTTAGGACACTTGTCATAAGTTGTAATCTCCTTCAAGTTGTTGATGACTCTCTGGATCGTTTCTGGACTGTTCACTGTCTGACCCAGCAGACCTCCTAAGAGTCTCTGGTTGGACTTCAGAGAGAGGCCATGAAGGAAGCGAACAAACAGTTCCAGGTGGCCACTCTCTATGAGGAAGAATTTATCTATGACTGTAATCAGAAAGTCTTCTAGAGATGAGATGTCCTCTCTCAGGAAGTTCTGCAGCACCTCTGTCTTCCTGTTGGTGTAACAGTGGAACATGTAGACAGCAGCCAGAAACTCCTGAATGCTCAGATGAACAAAGCAGTAAACTGGTTTCTGGAAGATCACAGACTCTCTTTTGAAGATCTCTGTACAAACTCCAGAGTACACCGAGGCCTCTGTAACATCCAGACCACACTGCTCCAAGTCTTCTCTGTAAAACAGGATGTTCTTTTTCTGCAAATGTTCAAATGCTAGCTTCCCCAGCTTCAGAAGAACCTCCCTGTCAGCATTGGTGAGCTGTTGCCAACTCATCTCTTGTCCCGTGTGGTACTTGTGCTTTTTCTTTATCTGAACCAGCAGGAAGTGTGAGTACATGTCAGTCAGGGTCTTGGGCAGCTCTGCTCTCTCCTCTGTAGTCAACATGTGCTCCAGAACTCTAGCAGTGATACAGCAGTAGACTGGGATCCCACACATAATGTAAAGGCTCCTGGATGTTTTCAGGTGGGAAAGGATTCTGCTTGATAGCTCTTTATTTCTGAATATTCTCCTGAAGTACTCCTGCTTCTGAGAGTCAGTGAAGCCTCGAACTTCTGTCATCCTGTCAACACATTTAGGAGGAATCTGACTGACTGCTGCAGGTCGGGAAGTTATCCAGATGAGAGCAGATGGAAGCAGATTCCCCTCCATTAGATTTGTCAGCAGCTCACTGATGGTTGACTTCTGTGTGACATCAGACACAAGCTTCCTGTTGTTGAAATTTAACAAAAGTCTGCTTTCATCCAGGCCATCAAAGATGAACAAAAGATTACACACAGTGAGCTTCTCTGCTGTGACGCTCTGTAATGTTGGATAGAAAACATGGATCAGCTCCAGCAGACTGTACTGCTCATCTCTGACCAAGTTCAGCTCCCTGAATGAAAGCAGAACCACCACACTGATGTGTTGGTTTTCTAAGCCCTCTGCCCAGTCCAGAGCGAACTTCTGCACCAAGAAGGTTTTTCCAATGCCAGCAACACCATATGTCAGAACCACTCTGATGGGTCTTTGTTGGTCAGGTAACACTTTAAAGATTTCCTGACAGCTGATTGGTGTTTCACAGAGGGTCTTCTTACAAGCGCTCTCCACCTGCCTCACCTCATGTTGGAAGCAAAATTCTTTATTCTGTCCCTCTATGATATAGAGGTCAGTGTAGATCCTGTGGAGGAGAGTTCCACTTCCTGTTTTATCAGGTCCTTCAGTTACACGTTCACATCTTCTCTTCAGAGTGACCTTTAGTGCATCGGAAACTTTCTGCAGACCATCATCTGTTGACAGAAAGAAAAACAAGAGGACTAGAGGCAAAACAGACAGTTTAATCTGTGGAAAACTTTCATTCTTCCACAATAAGAAGTACAGTTTAAAAAAATACATCAGCAGAAGGTCTTTATTTGTAGACAGCTGTTCTTACTGGCTGCCTGCAGACCAGGTCTGCTTCTGGATCTTTCTCCACACTGGGGACAGAAGGGGTGTCTTGATGAATCTCTCAGGACATCTTGACACAAAGCACAGTAAGACACCAGCTTTCCCTTAAAAGGGTGACTCCTGTTCTTCACTCTGTGGACACCAAATAAAATGTATTCTGACCAAAGAAAATCAGTAATGTCAGAAATACCAAATTTTAATATCAACACTGGCTTCCAAAAACATCTTTTTTATGTGTTAGGTGTATTGTTATTTTTAATTTATGTTCTTCTTTGAGCTCTAGAAGGAAAATAAGTTTGTTCTAGTTCAGTTTCAAGAAATCACTTTTAGAATAGAATAGAATTCAACTTTATTGTCATTGCACATGCACAGGTAC